CTTTCCCTTAACCTCTTACTCTCCTCAGGATAACATCTCAAAGTACAAGCATGTTATAATCGCATCCAAAAAATAACATCCTTGACTTTGTGGGTAGAAGCAGGGGTCAGAACCCAGGGCTACCTCCCTTCCAGGACAGCAGCAATCTCACAGAGTCACATTCTCCCTGCCTTGCTGTTTTCTTGGGCCCCACACATCTTCTCCTCTTGGCTGCCCAGGGGGCTCGCCTCATCTGCAGAGCTGCATTGTTATCCTCCTTCAACCCTTCCCCCACTGACCTTAAAACTCCTCTTTTACCATGCTGCTTACAAAAACCTTGACCACACTTAGGTTGCTGGTGTGTCACCTATATTGCCCGATATTGTTTTCTTGGGCTCCCTTGTCATTTTGTCTGTATCCATTTGTTGTCTCCTCTCTCGTACTTGGACTGCAAGCTTTGGGAGCTGAGATTGTCTTTTTGTCCTTTGTTCATGCAACACCATACATTCTACCTCTTAACTGTCTTCACTTGTGCTTGCAAAGTGCATTTTGCAAAGAACTAAAACTCTAATGCTCCGATATAGCTATGTAAAGATGCACCGGAGTCATGATATAGTCCCGGGGGGGGCCAACCTGCAGCATGCAAGCCACAAGTGGCATATAAGTCTCTGTGCACAGCATGTAGCAGACTGGGGAGAGGGCAGGCAGAAGAGCCTCATATAGGACAAGGAACAGATTGAAAACAGAGCACATGGCAGGCAGTGGAAAGCAATGTGGCAGACCAGGTAGGGGAAGGGGATTGGAGTGGCATTTAGAGAGGATGTAGTGCTAATTTGTGGGATACCTGCCAAAGAGGGTGTCCCCCAAAGTCTCTCTCTCTTACCATCCATGCATGTATTTTTTTTTTTTCTTTGTAACTTGAGATAGTCAAATGCTTTACTCTTGGGCACAACATGGCTTTTGCTGCAGGATAACTGGCAGAGGTACTATGGTCCAATGAATAGGACATGGACCCAGCAGCTCTTGGTTCTGTTCTTGGTTTTGCTGCAGAGCTTGTGTCACCTCAGGAAAGGGCAGAAGGGGTCATTGGCAATCATCCTGTCTAGCTTGCATATCATAGGTTACGGAATTTCATTCACTAATCCCAATATCAAGCCTGTTGCTTCTGTTAAAGCAAATGTACATGTTTTTAGAAAGAGAATGATTTTGATTTGAAGACTCAATATACTACACACCATGGAGCCTTGAATTTTGTTTTCCACTACCCCTGGTATATCTTATTTATTTAGACTATAAACTCTGTGGGGCAGGGTTCTTTGGACAGTGACTAATTTCTCTTGGAGCCTCAATTATAGCATGAATAATAATTATACTTCAACACTGTTAAAAGAACATGGTTAAAATTGTAAAGCCAAGTGTTCCAAAGTTACAAAATACCAGTCAAGCCTTATTTCAGCCCCTTTGTGCCTTTGCCTTATGATAGTCTTTTAAAACATGATCTCATCGTGGGCTGCTTTTTAATTCAGTGCAAAAAATGGATGTTGTTCAACTAGTGAGCAACCGTTCAACACTGTCTCATCTTCCTATGTTCAATGTGAGGCTCTAGCCATTACTTGCTGCAATATAAATTGCTCTAATGGAAATTTCCTTACTCTTCTATGGTGCTCATAATGATAACAACCCAATGCTTCACAAAAGTTACTATTTCTAATATCTCTGAGATGAGATGGAAGACTTCTATTTCCATTTTTACATTTTGGGAGCTCAGCCAGAGAGCAGTTAATAGAAATATTGGACCTTAATTTTGGATGTCCAAGTTGAGCTGTCTAGAATTTGATTATTTCAGAGGATTTAGCATTGTGTCCAAATCAGAGCTCCTGATTACTTCTGTTGCAGCTGTGAGTATGCACTTTTGTAGATCAGATTGCAAGTTCTCAAGGTGGGCATTCAGAAAATGAAAAACACAGGCTTGACTCGCTTTAAGAGACTTGTTTTAATTTCACATAGGAGCTCTGTGGCAGAGGCAGGGACAGGATCCATTTCTCCAGGCCAGCAGCCATAATCATGAGGTCATTCTTCATCTTCTTTCAATCCCTTGCTTTCTTAAATATATACCTTCTCGTTTGTTCAGAAAGTGGGGTCCTACAGTTACTAACTCCTCCACTCCTCAGCCTTGATATGTCCCCAAAGTAGGTTCACTCTGTGCATAGAATTAGGTACAGCTCTTGAGGGAAAACACAGCATGTGTAACCATGTAGAAGCTGCTTCATAACATATGCATGGATGAATATATGGATGCCCAAGCAGATATTCTGGCATTTCCAAACTGGAAGACTTGATTTTACAATCTTAAAAATATTTTTTGTGGATAATTTTCTAGATTTGAAAAACCAGATTCCATCCTATGGCATCATAATGACCCTTGCACAGTTCATCAGCAAGGTTGGGACCTTTAAAAACCACCACATAAACCTCTGCCACTTGAGTTAAATGGTGGGACATCTTGCTGGTAGGTTTCACAGATGTCTGCTGATAGCAACGAGCCTCCATTTGAGGCTCAAAAGGCCAACGTGCTCTACTGGGTACAGACGTTCCAGGTGCTTTATTCCAAGCTTGACCCCTTCTTGCCCTCCAAACCTGTCCCTACCACAGTCCCTGACTCCTTGTCAAATTATGAGGATAAAAACTTCAGAGATTTTTAGCTAGTAATGTCAACAAAGTCTTTCCTGAGCTTACCAGTTATTTTTCAAGGGTTTATAATTTGGCCAAATTTTTAGTTGGATTCTCACAGGGTCACAGGATCGTAGGAAAGTAGGGCTGGAAGGGACCTTATGAGGTCATCTAGTTCAGCCTCCTGCTCAAGACAGAATTATCCTGGATAATCCCAGCCAGGTGTCTGTCCAACCTGCTTTTGAAAATTTCCAAGGATAGAGATTATGTAATTTCTCTAGGTAGCCTGTTCCAATGCTTGACCACTCTCATAATCAGAAAGTTCTTCCTAATATCCAACCTAAATTTTCCCAGGTGAAGCTTGAGTCTACTGCTCCTAGCTCTGTCCCATATAGTCATGGAGAAAAACCCATCTTCATCCTTTCTGTAAATGCCCTTTAGGTATTTGAAGACTGTTTTCAAACCTCCCTCAGCCTTTTCTTCTCCAGACTAAATAACCCATTTCAGCCTTTCGTCATAAGTTTTGCATCCCAGGCTAAATTTTTCCCATGTTTGTTTTTGGAAATGGCTGAATCATTTGTCTACAGTTTTCCGAGTAATTCAATCTGAGGCAGACAACCAAGCATGGGCTTCATCCAAAAGTTTTTCAGAGTTATAAGCAACTGAAAACAGGGTCTTATAACAGCAAGTGTCAGGGAACCTTAATAATAGGCAATGCTGTCAGATTCCTCAGTAATGCCAGTAACATCCATCTTTTCATTCCAGCATTTGCTGTTGCAGAAGTCATAGAATCATAGAAAATCAAGGCTTGGAAAGGACCTCAGGAGGTCATCTTGTCCAACTGTCTGCTCAAAAAAGGACTATCCTCAACTAGATCATTCCAGCCAGGGCTTTGTCAAGCTGAGCCTTAAAAACCTCTAAGGATGGAGATTCCATCACTTCTCTAGGTAACCCTCCTAGTGAGAGAGTTTTTTGTAATATCCACCTAAACCTCCCTTGCTTCAACTTGAGACCATTGCTCCTTTCTTTTGTTAATTCTTGATATCTAAGACTACCAACCCCATTAAATACTTTTCCCAAAATTAAGACTTCTGTCAATGTTTGTTGAGTAAAATGGATTCCTAATAGCCTATTTACACCTTTAAATATCCGATTATTGACTTAAGTGTTCATTGTATGCAATGATTCGTTTTATCTATGCATTTATACTGTGCTCATAATTGCAGTGGTTTTTAATGGTAAGTCAGAGCAGCATACAAAAATAATTAATAGGGCTAGTGAAGTGCCAAAGTGAGAACCCTAGAAAACAAAATTCCCTGTTTATCCACAAAATGGCACTGGATGGATAATAATGGTGCTCTGCTCAGTCTCCCAATCCAACAAGGTTATTAATTAATGCCTGCTGTTAAACCTGCTGTTCTAATATGGCCATCTGTTCCCTAGGAACTAATTTGAAACTAACCTACGTGACCAGTCCATAGGTGGAGAATAGCTTTTTTTCCTTCTCAAAATTTTGCATGTGAATGGTAATTTGGAATATATTGCATTTTTACATTTATTGTTTTGCATTTTTGCTTTGTGAGGTGTTCTATACTTTTAATTTGCCAATATAAAAAACATAACTGGTTTTTAATGTTTTAGCTATTTTATGAAACTCCCCAAATTTTCTGAGAGTCCCCCATTTCATCTTAGACCTATGAAAGGTCTACTTCAGAGCTCCAACATCCTGACTGAATTGTAACTCTGCCTATATAAATTCCCAATAGTTTTCCCAGCAGTACAGAATAATCCTTGCTTCCTATCTGAAATCACAGTGTCACATTACTGTGTAGTGAAATAGTTTCCATATTCTGCAAGAGGGCTGCATTTCAGTGATTCTTATATATTCCCTAATAAATGATTCTTTACCCTAGCTCTGTTCTAAAGTAACCTAAGATGTTGTATTCCACTTGATAAAAAAGTCTTGTTTTGAAAAGATTACCCTAGGTCACTGCAAACACCTGCTGGTTGCATACCTCCTGGTTGCATACCTCCAAGGAGTAAAGACTCTAACAAATTTTCAAGTTCTTCTGAATTTAATGAAACATCTACAATTAGAGAAATCAGGCCTGTCTCAGAGTTGTGGAGCTATGGGATTCCCTCTTACAAAAACCGGATCTCTAAAGTGGGTACACGTCATAAGAACTGGTATGAAACAAGTCTCACCTTAAGGGTCCGTCTATGTATACCTAAGAGCAAAATTTGGCTCATGATTTGTAAAGCACTGCAGAGAGGTTTAGGATTAGAAACTCTCATGTAAAGTATTGCCAGTACTTGTGTTGGTCAGAAAAAGTATTTTGTTCCTGTGGGAAACTGTTTGCTGAAAATAAAGTTATTTGTTTTCATGTATTTTCTTCTTAAAGGTTTTGGGATTTTGTTAGGAGGGGCAAAAGACAATTTTGGCCAACATTTTTGTTACATTTTGATTAAAATATTTCTGTTGTCATGTTTTTGACCTTTGGGAAAAATCTGGAAAAAAATAATCAAAATGACATTTCGTGTAGAAATTTCTGATTTAATAAAAATCAGTTTTTGTTAATAAAACTCAATATTTCAGGTGAAATTTTCCTCCTTTGCTTTCTTTTATTTCTTTGGATATCTTACATGGAAGATTTTTTTTTTTCCAACTGCAGGCTGTTTCATAATAAAGAAAGGCAGCAATTGGGCTAGGGACAGGCATTCAGAAAGCCTGAGCCTGAATGGATTCAATCTTTGCAGGTTAGTCTAACCTGGCTAGGCTGAACTGGTTTGAAACTGGACAGACATTCTCTCTGGCCTGAGGAAATTCAGGCTCATGTCTGTAGTGGCTCAGGCTAGAAACCGGGGGTGCTAGAGCAGTCTTCCCTTCCCTTCTGCAGGGAGCTGAGCTGAGGGGGGCATGGCCAGGCCCCAGCAGGACTCTCTCATTAGGGAGGTTTGCCTGAATGGTCCCAGGCTTTTCGCTGCTGACTGCATAAGGGGTGGGAGTGTTGCCAGCCCCCAACCCCCTGCTAGCACTCTGAGGCAAGGGGGTGAGGGGGTGCAGTGTGTACATCTGTTGATGATACAGAGCTTTTCAATCTCCCTCCCTGCTTCATCATACTGTCTGCAGCAAACTGACGAGCAAGCAAGCCAGCTGGGGGCTGATAGTGATAACAGTCTTTATCACCCAATTACCAAAACAATGGCCTCTCTCCATTACTTCAGACTTCTTAAACAGCTTACCTCTGACCTGTTGATTAGCTCCAAACAGCCCTAAACAATCACTGTTCTGTCTGCTTGCCCCAGGGAAATTGGAGAGAGAAACACACACAGACACCTCTCAGCATTAGCTAGCAAACCACATGCCTAGGGTCCATGGGGCTGGGGTCCGTGCTGTGGTAGATGGGAGGGAGGGAGGGAGGTGTGGATTTATGGCTTGAGCAGCAAGTGGGGGGAGTTAGGGCAGGGGGAAGCCAGGCAGACCCTGCTGTGTCTGCAGTCTCTGCTGGAGCCTTACACAGCATTAGCTAGCATACCACATATTGGCTATGGTCTGTGCTATGGGAGAGGAAGAAGGGATCCCTGCTTAAGCAGTGAGGAGTGAGGGGGTGGGGGAGGGGGGCATGGGGAAGCCAGCAGATCCTGCTGTGTCTGCAAATCTCTGCCAGAGCTCTGGCCAGGGAGCAGAGGGGAGGGGTCAGCTCTGCTGTGGAGCAGAGAGCTCTGCCCAGCCCAGAGAGCGTGCCTGGATTCTGGGGGGCTCTAATTTAACTTAAACCAGTAAGGGGTCTGGGGCAGACATTGCATAAACTGGTTTGACCCAAATCAGTTACGTTTGGTACTACATTCATTCAGGTTTATCTCAAACCAGTTTCAGCCATTTTCGAACTGGTTTATGTGCACTGAGCTTCTGTTCTCTTACAGGTTTAAACCAGTTTCTGATCACTTAAACTGGTGTATGAGTAATGTCTGTCCCTAGCCTTGAAGAGAAAGTTGATGGCCACCATTACCGGCTTACGCCTTGCCTCTTCACTAACTAAATTCTTTTGGTGGACTACAAGAACACAGCACTGCCTCTGCTGCTACCATAGTGGTCAATGTCACTGGTAGTAATATCTGTCAAAGGAACACTTTTTGGCTTAGAAATGTTATCTAAAAGTTAATTTTTTGTGAATTGGCTTATAGGTATAAATATATGTATTAAAATGGTTTAGAATGGGCAGCAGGGGTTAAGTGATTTCTAAAGAGCCTGGGTCTCTCTCTCACAGTTTCTCATAGCCTTCAAAGCAGACAGGCTGTCTAACATAACAAGGCCAACAAGAACACACAGTTTGGAAAATAGTCTGGAAACCAAGGGAGTTTTACCACACTGCACATAACACGAGAAAAAGTGACACCAGCTAATGGGGCCCTGAGTCCCAGTTTTGGGGCAACAGACCAAATTAGGAGAAGGCATGGAAGGCTACATGGATGTGTGTCCACAAAGGGACAGAGATAGCCATGGATGAAGAGTCATCAGAAGTCATCAGGAGGGAAGGAGAATACAAAAGCAGAGACTTAAGAGTAACAAAGGGTCCCACCCTTTGTCTCGTCCCTCCCCATCCCTACTTCCTTTTGTTTCGTCCCTCCCCATCCTTCTCCTCAAGAGGGGTTCCCACACCTATCCCCATTCCCTGAGAAGGGTTCTTGAGGCCACCATGGACAGAGAGCATACCAATCCGTTTCAGGCACCCCACTGGAGGTGGGGGGGTGGGCCTCAGCATCCCACCTCCAAACTGCTGACATGCTGGCATCTGACACCTAAGAGAGAGCCTCAGAATGAAGCTTGCATCCTGGCCAGTTGTATTTTGACTCTGATGATGACAGCCCTAGGATTTCATAGATATATGGAATTGTTTGATTGTTTGTATTTTTTTTTCTTTTATCACTGTGTATCAATAAATTTGTCTATTATCATATGGAGTGGTCACGGTCAGTCCGAGGGTGGGTCCCAGAGCCAACACACCTCAGGCTGCCAACCTAAAGAAAACCATGATACTACTGAACACCATTAAGAGCAGCCTGTTCTTTCTTCTTCCATTGAATGAGCTGCTAAGACTAAGTAAAGGGCTGCAGACATTACAAAAGTGCAGGAATTTTTAATGTATTATTCTTGATAGTATCTAGTTCCTGATGGCATCTGTTGTCACAGAATGGATGAATAGAATATATCCCATATCCTAAAACAAAGGAAGTGATGTGTTGCTGAGCCTGTCTTATTGAGTATAATAATTAATAAAAAAAAAATTTAAATGAAACCATCTCCAATTCTGTTTATTATATTTCTAAGTACAGGATAAGCTACTCAGTAGATGCTGGAAACCTAGTTGGATAAAATTCAGGGCCCATTTCTCTAGCTGGCCCTGCAACTGAGATGTAAAGGAGAAAGCTAGATTATGAGCTTGAAGGGGCACATAATGCTCTACAAGACTGAGCCATTAAGTATTATGAAAGCAAAGACCATGGAGCTGTGCCAGCAGTGAATTTGACTGAAATGTGGTTGAATTTTAAACCACCATGAGATCCCAAGTAAGTGAATTTGATACAGTTTGTGCATAACTCTCACTCCATATTTAGCATGCAAACTTCAATTTTTATGTGGGATTAGGCTACCATAGTTCCTCTTCAATTTTTGCTCTCCACCCACTTCCTCAAGTCGTACTTCTATGTGCATATGTCAGTCCAGTCAGATCTCCAGATTTAAAGAGGATTGGGCTGTAGTGGGACTTAGATAATCTAGTTACCTAAGGAGATTTCTCCATAGTATGTAGTACCCTTCACTCTTCTAACCCTCACAGATAAAACTTAGCAGCTAGTACTGTGCACTTAACCATACTGTGAAACTGTTCACTTCCAATTCCTATTAAAACTGGAACCTTTAATTTTTTTCCATGTCCGTGCAATTATATTGGCATGAAATATCAAACTGTTCTCTAACTGCATGATAGTATATATGAAAAAAAGATTCAGTAACAGGTGTTCCTTCTAGACAGAAGTCCTTTGAATTTGGAAGTTGGGAATGAGACAATAAGCAATGTGAAAAAATCTCTGGCAAGCTCTTTGGAGTGGGCACCAACTTTGTAGTCTGTGTTCAGCTAGCACCTGGCACAATGAATTCTTGGCCTGTGACCCAGGTGCCTACTTTCTACCACTGGATGGCATCATCATGAGTGATACACACTTCACGGTGTTAGCCAGGAGAGGCAGACAAGTTGGATGCCTTGGATTTTTTCACTGAGGTTTCTTGGAATATGATATTTAAAAATAAATAAGGCATAAAGGTCATCAATTCTTTTTGCTTTCTTATGTGCAGGTGTTCTAGTACAGTTGCACTGAGGATTGGGGCCAACACTGATCTGCAAAGGCTTTGGGGTGTGTTTTATTTGTGTTACTTTATGGAGTTGCCTTTTTGAGGGGATTGATGGATCCAAAGCAGCTGGAACCCTGGTGGTGGTCCTAAGGCATTTTTATGATGTGTTGTCTTATGCCTTGCACAGTCATTACGGTTCTGTGGTTTTCTTTCATGCATCCATGTGTTGTGCACATGTCAAATGTAATTTAGGCTGGTGGGTCCTTGTAGTCTGAAAACAATGCTGAAAAGAGAAAGTATTGGGAAAAGTAGAGCTAGAAGGAGGAGAAAAAGCATGAAGGGAGAAGGGATGGGGAAGGCAGGTGGGATCACTTAAACAGAAAGGCAGTCCCTGAGCCAGGCCTTACATTTATTCTCAATGTTGATGCAGTAGTATAAGGCTCTATGGGAAGCCCCGCACTGTTGGAGGGCTGGCTTTCAGCTGAAACTTTGGACCAAGGTCCTGTTTTTTCTGGCTCCGGGGGCTATCTAGGAGGAAGTGAGAGATCCTATGATGCTTTCTTAAGAGAAGGATATGATCCCAGTGTCCTCTCTGTCAGTAAATAGGGTCCACTGTATTACATTATTCATTTAATGCAAATAGTATGTTAAGCTATACAGTCTCTTCATTTTACAGCAGACAAAAGCCTCAGCTGGTAAAAATGAATATAGTTCCACAGTCTGTGGGCCAGCATGGATTTGTGATGCACTTTGGGATATCTGGAGTTTGAAAGGCTTTTCATGGAACCTGTTACTATCCTGTAGTGTCTTTTGAGAATAAGGGTCAGCATGAAAGCTGCATGTCCTTGGAGGCTGGGGGGCGCACAGAAAGCTCCTACAGGCAGCAGCGGTGCTGTCGGTGGTTGGAGTGTGGCAGCGGCTAGCAGTGAGCTCCCACAGGCAACTGCGGTGCTGTTGGCGCTGGGGGCTAGGGGGTGGCAAGCACCGACCAGCAGTTGGCATCCACCTGCAGATGCCACTGGCAGTGTCAGTGGCAGCCAACTGTGACTGGGGACTGCCCATAGATGCTGCCAGCAGTGTCAGCGGTGGGGGTGGATGGTGAGTGTCAGTGGTGCCTTTTTGTAGGGGGTGCACTGCCAAGCTCAGGGGGTGCATGTGCGCCCGCGTGCACCCCCTACACGTTGCCAGTGAGGGTCAGAATCTTAACAAAGCCAAAACATTTTATGGACTCAAATGCTGTTGTGAACCAATGAACTATATAAGAGCTTACAGGTTGCATAACCTTGTTCTGTAAATGTATTCTTTCATCACATCTGTCCTTTTAGTAGAGAGAAATTCATGAGATTTTTGTTTTGATCAATATTTTGGTTGAGGGATGGAAGTATATTGAATTACTATAGCCTACAAGATAATTATCCTACAGCAATGTAATTATCCTTTACAAGATAATTTATCCTACAGCAATGTGCTTTTGGTGCCTAAAATGTTAATTCTGTACAGGTAACAGCCCATAAAATGAACTTGAGTTGTCCCTCAGTGAACAAAGTGAGGTAAACTTATAATGGGCATGGTTTAAAAAAGTTTTCTGGTGCCTTGTTCCCTGGAGGTAAGATATTATTGATATGAGAAGGTATTCCCTATACCAACTTTGACTACCTCTAGTACTGACAATATCTTACCTACTGGTAAAAAGGAAACAGAAACCTTTTGAGTTGTATTTAGATTCAGTAAGTACATCCAATGAATCCATCTTAGGTGATGATCCTTTTTGTACAATGTAGTACACATCAAAAGTGGTGGTACTTCTCATGTTAGTCATCCAGGACCTGATTGTTCCAGGGGATGGACATTCTATTATTAATATTAATTAATAGTTATTATTGTATTAAAATAATATTTTTGTGTTGTTATTAATGATGAGGAATAGGGTGGTGCTCTTAGAGCATATCCCTTGCATACCTCTAATTTATGCTCTGAGAAACACCTGGCATATCCAACAGAACAAATAGGTACTTTTTACAAGGAATTTTTTACAAATATTTATAATACACAATTCCAGAAAAGACAGTTTTGCTTAGGAAAACTATATCCAGAATGTGGAGTTTTCTGTTGGTTCATCAGTCTATTTCCTTTTTTGGATATAACAGAGCCAGTTTCATTTTCCAGAATTACAAAACCTGAATAATGCCCGTTAAAATGAACACTAAGGAGGGAGAAAGGTAGAACAAGAGAAACACAGAAATGATTTAACAAGCTAGAGGCTAGATCTTAGAAATGTGATTTGACATGCAGCATAACTACCACTAGCACATGATTTATTGCCTTCACCCCATCATATGACAGGCCCTCACTTACTGGCATAATAAGACTTATCTGACTGACACCACTGAATTAATTGCTTTGCTGCTGAGCAAAGGTGAAGACGTGAAGTGCAACAAGTTGGCTGCTTTTTTGTTCTTTACTAAAGGACTGTAAAAAGAAAATGTAAAATTAGCATGTCCTTGTCCCCTTCCCATACTCTTCTTCTTCACAATATGCTTTCCTATCTGTTCCACTCTAAGTTTAATATTGGTTTGTACATGTACGTTATTTTGCATTAGGATAAATAGAACCTTTTAACCAGGGTAAGTGAGCCTGATTCAGGAATGCAGGAGATTTGTATCTTGAAAAATCAATATTTAAGATGTACAATTGCTCCCATGGTATTGAAAGAATTAGTTGATCTACATGCCAAATGACAACCCCCTTGATAACAGGGATTATGTGTCCTGTCTTTCCAGGCTATGCTTCTTGAAGCTGCTCTTTAGGTCCCTAAGGCAGAGATAATCTAATTAGCACAACAAAGACCAGGTCGATTTGAAAAAGGAAGAGGGAATTGAAGAGAGTGGTTGTGGGGAGGTTATGTGACAGCATTATATCTGAAGACATGCTCTGAAAAGTTACAGGAGAGGAGGGGAAATTTAGGGCACTATTTAATCTTCAATTTGGCTCCATAAACATGGGAAATGCAGGCCTACTAGACTATTACCAGACAAGCACCAAATTATTGAGTGCTTACAACACACACATTCACTCAATCACAGCACAAGGGAGGAGGGGGCAGAGGAAACAAAAGTGATGTTGTTCTGAATGGAGAGGATATGGTTTTGACCAAGATAAACCTGTCTGCTATGAACTCTTTGGCTTCTGCTGGACTGCTACTTATTTTACCCCTAAAATGCAAGATCATCCTTTATACATGTGGCGTAGGGTTAGTCTTCTATGCCCCCTAAATTGAAACAGTGGGTTTTTAATTGAAAACCACCATTTCAATGTAGGAGTTTTATTTTTCCATCATGTTACGGTGAGGGGCCGATCCTTTTGTTTTTTGTTTTGCGGAGCCTTTCTGCGAGGTGGGGGTGAGAGGGGGAGCAGCGGGGGAGTGAGCTGCCGGTGGGCCAAGCAGCCCCTGAGCTGCAGGTGACCTAGTCCTCCCCTTTGCAGTGGCAACACCCCCTGAGGAAGAGATGGTTTGGGCAAGGTGCTGGCTCCAAGCTGGGGCAGCATCCTGCCCACTAGTCCAGGCAGCTCCGGGGGCTGCCTTTGCCATGGAGGGAAGGACCAGGGCCCCCCGCAGCTCAGGGGCTGCTCGGTCCACTGGCAGCTCACCCCGCAGCCATGGGAAAGGCAGGCAGGCTCTGCCAAAAAAAAAAAGGATCAAAAAGCCCAAGGTGAATTGATTCAGTCTTTGCAGGTTAGTCTAACCTGCATAGATTGAACCAATAAGCAAGTGAACAGACATTCACTTTTGATTCTGGAAATGCAGCCACGTGTCTTCAGTGGCTCAGGTCAGAAGCTGGGGGCACTAAAGCACGCCTCTCTGCTTAGCTGGAGCAAACAGCTTGGGCAAAGGCTAACCCAAAGGGGGTTTTGCAGGGGAGGTGCAAAGCATCCTGGGATGCTGGGGGACTGAGAGTTAACTTGAATCTGGAGGGGTTCTGGGACAGATGCTCAATAAACTGATTTAACCTAAATCAGGTAAGTCTGCTACTACGTCCATCCAGGTTTATCTTAAACTGGTTTCGGCCATTTTGAAGGTGGTTTATGTGCACTGAACTTCTGTTGTGTTTCAGATTTGAACTTATTTTTGATCACTTATACTGGTTTATGTGTAATTTTTGTTCCTAGCCCAAAGTGTGTGACTCATGCACAGAATAGTATTTGCCATTTCTTGCTCCAGAACTGTGCTTTGAACTAATGTCAAAGTTAGATTGTAGGCTCCTCAGGGCAGGGGCTTTTACTTTAAATTTGACTGTAAAGGGTAGTGCCCATCTACATATCTGTAGAAGTAATCCTAGCTGCAGCTGCATGATATAGTGGCAGTGTTTGAAATCAGGGTGCAATAGACATAGTCTCAGCAGGTCTGGAATATTCAAAGAAACAATGGGGCTAAATGTCTGTTGTTCAGCATCCTTAGGCTCCTTGAAATTCATCCTGGACAGTTAACCAACTGCAAGTGAACATCCAGCATTGAACTTAACAACCAGTAGTACACTGAAAAACATTTATAATTACACATAAGCACATCTGTCACTGAGATCATGTGAAATTGAGGGACACACTCCAGCTCCATGAGAGCAGATGTGCAGTCATTTTCCCTTCCCAAGGCCTGTGGAGACTGGGTGCCTTGCTAATTCTTGTTTAATTAATTGCTTGATTCAAGGAAATAAATAAATTAAGGAAAGGCAGGAAT